GGATGCCGGCCGGCTCAGTGGTCTAGTTGGTTAAACGCCTGGCGCGAGACTGATAGGTCCTGGGTTCGAATCCTGCGAGGCGGGGTCGAGGATGCACACCGCTGAGGAATCCCACAGTAGGACGAAACGGCCGTCCAGTGCTTGCAGGTTTTCCATGGTGGTCTAGCTTCAATCGACTCATGATCTCAACTGTTTAAATCACTACAATCTCTACAAAACCCCTTCTGATACTGATTAGTTGTTAACTAGTTTTTGTCAGTTTGTATGTTTTAACTGAGTCGAGATTTCCAAAATTGAATGTGTTTGGTTAAACTGATGCCGTTCAATGAGTTTGTAGGTATCATTACCAAGGTTTGGTTTGATAATTTCAAATAAATTGAGCATTGGGTAGATTGTTATAAATAAATAATATATTTACAATATCCCAATAAGTAGAAAAATTAGATTTTCTACCCATTGGGATATTAAAAATTTATTATTTATTTATGACGCCGTTTAAGTTCGTTTTACATGCTTAATGGTATCTATCATCCAACACTGGAGCAGGATAATAACTGCTTTTATACATACTATCTTCGAAACGCTAACGAACTCATTGAGCTCAATACAGTTCAAAGCAACAAATTCAAATTATTGCAGCACCTATTAGAGGCGAAAGAAACAGTACACAGAGCGACTGGAAAGAGATAGAAAGGGGATGAATCTATCATATCAGAAGGTTCTGGGTCACAAAAGCCACCAACATGAGAATAATATTTCAGTAAATAACCTTGGCGGGATTCGATGGAGAAAGCACAAGAAGACAGCAGATATCAGAAGTCGAAAAAATGTGTATAAACAAGCAAACAAATGAGTGAAGAAAAACCTTAAAAATGACGAGTGGAAATATATAGAAAATCTGTGGTCTATGACAGAAAAAGCTGTGAGAAGCGAAAACATACGAGGACTTCATGATACAACAAAAAAGTCAACAGTAAAATACAGAAGACCAGAGAGACAATTCCAGGATAACAAAAGCTGTCCAATCAATGAGACTCAACAACACAACAATAAGTGGGGAATACAATTTGAAGAGCTCTTCAGTACACCAGACAAACTGAATCCATCAAACATTGAAGCAACACATACAGATCTTCCTATAGATACTACCGCATCAACAATCATATGAATTATCAAGAGCATCACAGAAATTGAAAGGGATAATGGAACAGGACCAGCTGGCAGCTGACAGTAAAGTCATAATTTTTAACGTCGACGTTGAGGTAGTTTTGTTATGTGTATCTGATAATTTGAAGACTTCTACAATCATCATCAAAAGCCTACAGGTATTTTAAACGTCAGTCAACTTAACATACTCCATATCCATTAACCGGATACCATCACCAACAAGCTACTATGAGAGAGAATATAACAGCTTGCAGCTAGAAAAGTAATTAGAAAAAGACGTTGGAGTTGGTTAGGATACACATTGCATAAATCATCAAACCGAATCACGAGGTAGCCTTATCTTGGAATCTCTAAGGCTTAAGGAGAAGAGTAAGATCAAAGAACACTTTGCGCTGGTAATTGGGAGCAGATATTAAAAAATGAATAACTACTGAGAATAATTGAAAATAGGGCGCAGTTCAGAGTCCGTTAGAGACTCCTGATCATCGGATCATAACCCAAGAACAGCAATAGGTTTAAATAAGTAAGTATGCCTAAGGGGCAGACTAAAGATTCATGACCACCACACCATGTTTTGCTGTACAATCAGTGAATCAAATGCTTGATAACTTTGGTTAATGCTGTTCGATAACCTTTTCATTAACCAAATCCTCTTTTTACACATGGAAAACTCGGTTTCTCAGACTCTTAAAAACTTATGCAGCTTAATATGAGAATTTGTATTTGGATTAAGAAGAGAGTACTTCTTTGAGTCGGTATCATAAAAAATTAGTCATCCTCACATTTCTCTCAATACGATGGATAAAGCACGTGATGATTGAATAGAAACCGAGGTTTGATAAATAAAATTTTGTTCAAACAAATTAGCTAGCAATGAAGAGGTAATTAATCTGATACTTTTGATTATGATTTATTGCTTTCAAATGCCAATCTACTTTGTGAAATAAAACTGGTGTTGTTCGTCATTTCAGCAAATAAATTAAATATACGATGGCTTGCATAAGATTTGCAAATATTCAGTGTAAATAAAACCTTAGTGTTTATCAAGTGGTATGAAGAAACAGAATGTGAAATTCATTAACCAATTCATATTTATTTAACACACCTTACTGTATTTTCTAACGTTATCTGTATATGCATGGTAAAGTTTCTTGTTGAGAGGAAGTAAACGAGATGCACCATAAGATTTTTGTTAAAGAAGATGAATAAATATTTGTTGAAACTAAGTGATAGTCATGTTATTGATGGTATGAATTTCACATAATTCAGAGAAAAAGTTTTGGTTTATTGCAATCAATACTGAAAAAATCAATGATTTTTAAAGGTTCATCCTGCTAAGAGTGAACAGGTAAAGGAAAAAATGAATAAATTATGGATTTTGTTCATCCAGTACAAGTTTGGAAGTATAGCAAATTCAGAAATTCTTCCGTTGAAGCTTTGAGTTCAAGTGTATTTGAACCTGCTTAAATAGGGTTAAGGGGATGACAGCTTTCCTCAGGTCCGACCAACAGCTGACAGCACTATTCTCACGAGACCAAATGTAGACAATATATGGTTTTTAACTTCTCGAAGCTCATTATGATAGGTTATAACAAAACTCTGTATCAAATTACACTCTTATTAAACATACCTCATCTGTGATGTTGTTCACCTCACTTCCCAATTCTTTCGGGACGTTATCTTTCGGTATAGACTAACGAAGTGTTCGGATACAGTATCTATAATTTAAAATAATTTGTTCCGTCTGGCTAGGTCATCTGTAATCGAAATGGGTGGAACGTATGTTTATCATTAACTACCATGTCGCTTTTTAGATTGTCTTCCAAATCGGTATAAAGAAAATGGTCAACAGTCATGTGTTTGAGGTCCAAATTACCATAAGTGTATTTATAATGGTTAGGCACAGGAAATAGTTTGAATTTTTCTTTGTGAAGTAGTAAGATTTTCTGAAGTCATCCATTGTTAAGGGGCAATAATCAACGTTTGATATGCTACGGCAGCCTGCTTGAATATATGGGCTACCTGTTCCTGCGATCTAGATATTTCAACAAGTCATTTGTTCTCTAGTTTGTTTTAACACATCATTGTGCCTATTAGCCACATAACGTTTTCAGGTGCGTTTGTGAAAAGTTTACGACATTTCGCTCTTCAACTTAGAAAGTAGCTGGTTGCTGGCAATATGTATGCAGCGAAGAGAATTTAGATTATTTGGATTTCCATTGACTGGACTGCTAACTTTTAACTGACGATCATCCAATATTTAACACAAGGGTCGATCAATAAATAAGAAAAGGAAACTTGTTGAAATATTCTGTGCTGAGAATTCTGTGTTGTACCAAAAATATAATATTGAATAAAGCCACTTATAATGATGATAATAATAATAATTCTACATGTTTTTGAGAATAGTGGCCCGCTATCTGACCTCGATTTGGATGAATGTGGGAAGGTGCTATGTACATTGATCTTCCATTTAACATCATATATTACCTTGGCTAATCCCGTGTGTGTCGGCGGTATTAGGAAACTAAGTACGGGTTGCGTTGGTGGTATCTGTTCCAAACATTCTTTTATCCCGACAAACATTCGGAATAAGAAGGGGGGAAGCGAAGCGAAACAAATCGACGAAGAGAATGCGAGTAAGACAACTCGATTTGATCAACAGTGACTCAATATTTATGATCAGGCAGAAATAAGACACGCAATAAATAGGCTGAGAAATTAACACACGTCAGCTCATATAAAAATAACCAAAGTTAATAAGTAAATAATTAACAAGGTCAAAATATGACTCAGAAAGAAAGAATAAATCGGTCTGTTTGGAAGCTAGAATAATCTATGTGGGCATAACATAGGACTGGACACTACAGAACCATGGATAAGCCGATTACTTGAATTTCCATACATATATGATACAATGATACTGCTATTACCCGGTGTAGTAAACACCAAAACAACGGAGAAATTTTTAATAAATTATGGAACATAAAACAAAAAACAATATTTGAACTGATTTGTCCACAAAATTTTTTAAACATTACCCAGAGATTACAAATGGATATATATTAGAATATCAAGGTAGGCGACAATCAAGTGGACCACGTTGTGATGTACAAATACAAAATACCCGTCATCCTTACATCCCGTCAAGGTCGTGTTTGCCAAACAGAGGTCTTTCAAATACGGAAAGACTTTTAACTGGTACCGAATCGGAGTGACAGACCAATGCTAAAATAAACCATAAGGAAGTAAAAGAATAATCTGACAACATGTAAAAGAAAACGAGCGTTAAACATCATAACAAAAAATTTCATCTTCGGATTTAATATTTAAAGAGAAATCAACCAAGTGAGTCGGACTCAATGAATTGGTTGTAAACTGAGGTTAGTTGGTGAACAAAATATGAAGCATGCTACTGATGTCGATATATATAAGTAGTATGTCTAGTCAATCGAAATTGAAATGTCTACTGGCAGAAGGTTAAGAAGACAGAAGAAAAAAAGAACGAGAACAATGAATGATTGCTGTGGAAATGAAGAAACAATGAATTCTGAGACGATTGGTTGACATTTTCCAAATGAAGAATTTACTGTATGATTCTCAGATTTTACTAAAAGATTCAGTAATTTTGTGTTCAAATACATTTGTTTATTCTCACTTGTGTTCTTCTTCACTACATAATCATAACGAAGATAGATAGAGAGAGAGATGAACTACATTTAAATCTTATATAACTCAAAAAAATATTCTATGCATAATACTAAGTTGAGTGACAATAACAAAAGGTATCGTTTTTAAAATTTCAACATTTTTCACATTTTTGTAAAATTGATTTAATTGATTTTATCAAAATCGGATGATGATGATGATGATGATGATGATGATGATGATGATGATGATGATGATGATGATGATGATGATGATGATGATGATGATGATGATGATGATGATGATGATGATGATGATGATGATGATGATGATGATGATGATGATGATGATGATGATGATGATGATGATGATGATGATGATGATGATGATGATGATGATGATGATGATGATGATGATGATGATGATGATGATGATGATGATGATGATGATGATGATGATGATGATGATGATGATGATGATGATGATGATGATGATGATGATGATGATGATGATGATGATGATGATGATGATGATGATGATGATGATGATGATGATGATGATGATGATGATGATGATGATGATGATGATGATGATGATGATGATGATGATGATGATGATGATGATGATGATGATGATGATGATGATGATGATGATGATGATGATGATGATGATGATGATGATGATGATGATGATGATGATGATGATGATGATGATGATGATGATGATGATGATGATGATGATGATGATGATGATGATGATGATGATGATGATGATGATGATGATGATGATGATGATGATGATGATGATGATGATGATGATGATGATGATGATGATGATGATGATGATGATGATGATGATGATGATGATGGTAAAACAAATTTTCTAGTCAAAATATTCATCGATAACTGAAGTGTAGTTAATAAGGTGATGTGATTTTTTTTCAAAATAAAAATCTCCTTTTGAAATAAACCATCTTGAATGATTCGGTTTGTTTTATTGATCATGAATCTGTACTAATAGGTAGTTATATTTTGAAATTATCAATATAATTAATATCCTTGTAGTGATGGTCAATCATTTCAAGGAATTGATGTTGTTCTAGATGTTCACGAATTTATGTAATAAAGGAATTCGAAGAAGTTATTATAAAACTAATAGATTCTATTGCAATCTGTGCTAAAATTGAAATCATTAAAATAAAGAAATTGTTTATATGCGGATTTGGATAGATCAAATACTGGAAAACCTTCAAATGCTTTCTAGTTTTCAATAGTTCTTCATTTGAACGTTTATTTTAGGGATTATCTCTGACAGATTCTTCTTTAAATCACTTATCGATAATCATTATTTGATGATAAGGAAATAAATATGTGCTATGCTAAATATTTTAAATATTTAGGAACATTTAAGACAATAGTGATTAAAAAACGAAATGAAAGTCATTTTTTCGATCCGGTTAGACTGGATGAATAGATTTACTGAGCAGCAGTACTAATATTTATTCTTGTTATCAAATCTGATAGATAATTAATGTAAAAAGGAAATTTTCTAAATGGGACAGTCATAAATCTAATAATTTGACCTTGTTTGATAAGATATTTCCGGCTCTACGTGTAAAAGAATTTTATTTGTATACGGTAGTTTTCGAGCTAAAGGAATAGGTAAACTGAAATGGGAGTCAGCTTATTCCGAGGAATTTTATCTCAATTGGACTATTTCGTGTATTTAAAAAAAAATAGTAAATCAACAAGCGATGATGGATTTGTCACATTTAAAACATGTCATAAATGTTTACTGGAAACTCATACCAACAACATAACATATGAAGGTGATGAGGAATTTCTTTGAAAGTTCCACTCTTCCATTCTGTTGAGAAAAACAACTGCCTATTGCTATTTTATCGATGTGTCTATAAGGTATACTTGTACATAAATAGATTTCTGACCAAGTTCTGAAATAATGACAAAAACTTACAAATATCCTTGATACTCGAACACACTTTCACAATTGATAATATATTGTATATTAGATAGGCATATAGGAACATGACATACACTCCTACCTTTCAGATATTTAAAAAAATTTCGTGAGATATTCTATACATTTCAACATCTGAATAAGATCTGGGTATGAATACATACGTTTTATACTACTTATAAGTAAGAAAGTATCTAAGATGAAATTAACTCTATTTGAATTTCCCAGACCACTTATCATTATCTATATACCTAATGATTGTTTTAAAGAATGTCAATAATCAATCATTTGAAGATTAGCGGTTTACTTTACAAATTCAGACGAACCAATTTAGGGATAAATCAATCTTCATATTTGCATAGGTACCTTATTATAATAAACTTATACAAAATTACATTGTAATAGGAATAGCCAATGTATTCAAATGAATAATGACAATGTGATGGACGAGAACATAAGAAAGGACAATCGAATGTATTGGAATATAAAATTACAGAAAGTTTTAATAAAATCTGAAAGTCATACAGTGTATACTTGATTTGCAAAATGTCAATCAGTTGTCTCGAACTACACTGTTCCTTCATTTCCACAGTAATCATTCTCTTTTTTTCGATCTTCTTAACCTTCTGCTGCGAGGTATTTCACGTTCTATTGGTGATATATACTACTTATATCTGTCGACATCAGTAGCGCACACCATAACAAAACACTTACTTACATACGCCTGTTACTCCTCGTGGAAGAGCATAGACCACCAAACAGCACTCTCCATCCAACCCTGCACTGGACATTCCTTTGCAGTTCATTACAGATGCTATTAATCCTTCTCGTGTCTGCTTCCAATTGCCGACGTAATGTATTCCTTGGTTTTCCCTTTTTCCGTTTCTCTTAAGGATTTCAAGTTAGCGCTGGCCTCGTGATACAGTTCGATGATTTGCTTAATATATGTCCTATCCACTTCCAACAAGTTTTCCTAATTCCCTCTGCATCTGAAAGCTGGTTTGTTCCCTCTCACAGAAGGCTGTTGTTGATGGTATCCGGCCAATGGATATTAAGTATCTTGCGTAGACAAATAATTATAAATACTTGTTTGTATGTCATGGATTCATTCTACACCATATTCAGGATTTTTTAATTCTCAGTAAATTTAAATGTAGTATGAATCACATTAAACCTTTATGTGTTAATAACTTAATAATTTCTCATCAGCCTACCAATGAATTATCTATAATCGAGAGTCGAACAACTTATTTTTTCTACTTATAAAAAGATTTTAAATGAACGACCAGAGTATTTTACAACTAAAGCACTTAAAACCAGTTTAATTTAATTGCTTTAATTGGTTAACCATCCATGTTAACTCCTTGAATGTTAGAGTTCAGAAAGTATATACTTATATTTATATTAACATCCCAAATAATAAGAGTTTTCTAAGCTAGAACTAATTATACAGATTTTTAGATGCTATTTCTTGATTCAGAATGCTTAACTTAAAGTTATTCTTTGCAGCTTCTGAAATTGTCATGATACAGAATTTTTTATTTCCCCCCTTCATATATGCATTTGGAATACCTCGCTCTTGATAACATCAATTATATTACACCCTGTCATACAGTATCTAGTTTAGGCTGGCGTTCATAAAGACAAAATGGTAGAAAATATTCGAAATATTGATCTGTAGGAAATAAATAATTCATTATGCATCTGACATCTGTAACGTGTTCTACAATCTTTACTCGCCTGTTTCTCATTTAAATTTACGACAAACTAATAAGATTAAATGCAAGTTTGCAAAATGGGAAGTAAGTTATCCTCACCTTATAACGTTATTAGCAATTTACCCTAAACCTTCAAGTCACAATATGTAGCTTTGAAAAAATCCTAATCAGCTGATCGATAATAATAATAAAGCTGTAGTACAGAATCTCTTTAGCGCCTTACATTGCTGAATAACACTAGGTATTAGTGACAGAAATAATTTATCATAGGATTTATCATTGCATTATCTGTATACATTATAGTTGCCAGAAGTGCTACGTTATATTTCAACAACTTTCTAGCCGTTTTTATCGCAATATAGATAAGTGATTTGACCACAAATTGACATCTAAATAATTGAGCATATAATATGACCATCACTATCGTTGACCGGATTTTAGTCCAATTTCAAAGAGTGAAGAATTGAAAAATACAAAACGACTCAGTATTCCTTAACTTTGATGGTAAGAATAAGTGATATCAAACAACAACTGGAAGAGAGGGAGATTATTCCAAGAAGCAGTCGACCAATTAAAGGAATTATTTGGTTTATTTAAGGTTCTTTGAATCATTTCATATGAATGTGGATACCTTGAAGAATTTTATTACTGTATGTGTTATTAATTGAATTTTGTAGCTTAATTGTAAAATGTGTTAACTCAATAAAGACACACATCACCACTAATATTTTGAAAGAAAACTGCTATAAAATAGAAAAGAATAAGTTCGGGAAATAAATCAAACCAACATTTATACTCAATACTTATTTTGTTAGTTTGTGAAGATAATTTATTAAATCATGAATTCCACTGCCAGCCGCTATCCATCTTTCCTTAAAAAGCTTGTGACTTAAGGCTATATCGAGGCAATGCACACAGGATGCACATATGTCAACATGAGACTGATCAATTGCAGTCCTAAATAACAATGGGAAGATACAATTAAAACAACACCAAGTGTATTTTATAAGGGTTCATTTTATCCCGTTGTTGATGTTGTCATCTAAATTTTTGGTGTTTCAGTTGGCATTTGTACATACTGTACAGATAATTTCAATATAGCCACTTTATCATAATATTTGTCGAAAAGGTGGGTTTTGATATACCACAAGCGATGAGTTCTATAATTTACTATATTTTTCAGTATATAATAAGTACTCCTTTGTTATGATAATATTCACAGTGGAATTATAATTATTCACCTTTAACAATTCAACAGAGTATCCGACTAAATTACAGAAAGGAATTTTGTTCGAAAGGACTTATTTTAGAATGCATAACAAGTGAAGTTATGCCACATTCTCACCATGTTACAATAAACACTACTTATCCTATTAACTGATTTGTTTAGATAATTAACAGATACATTTAACATGTGTATATAATTGTTTCACTTCAGGTTTCTATTTAAAATGCTAACATCAACTAATCACAAATGGAAAACTGATAAAAATTTAAAGCACATTATAGTTGTTTCACCATAGTCTCTACCTTTAGAAAATATGCAGATTGTACAAAATAGCCTGAATTTGCAAGTGTCATGTCTTTAAAAAAGAAGATTCGAGAATTGTATTATTAAAAGTCATGTAATCAAACAGTTATTACCAGAGCAGCTGAACTATTTAGTCCGATTATTAATTTAGTCCCCTCTATTTTCTGTAGGACTAGTGATTCATTTTATCAATATAAGCAATAACCGATAATACAACAACCAAGACCTTAGCGCCTCTAGCTTTTTTCAGCCCTGTTTCCAATCAAAAGACTACGATAACAAGCGAATTGATTCTTTTTTCTAACTTATTCAACCATGACTCAAAATTCATGCGATGATACATGACCCGTTAAGTAACAGAAATGGAAAATTACAATGTTCACGTAACTCATTTATAAGTGATGCAACAATAGGGTAATAAGGAAATAATTAATTAATGACAAATCTGGAATAATAAGATAAATAGTGATCGTTTATATGTTAAACGAATGTAAATAATTAAGCGAATATAATAAGTCAATAATCTGAGTATACATAAATATAAACAATAATTTCCCATACCTAAGTTCTGAATTTCTTAGCCTTCTATAAATCTTTTTCGATATGACAAACAAACTGATATGAGCTATGCGTTAGAACTGTCCGCCCCCAAATGCCCTGGTACAGCCGAGAGTGAGGAGAGTTCGCTCTACCTCTCGAAATACTCTCACATGACCACGCGTATATAGCCTCTGTCAGGGAAGTCCTACTCACTGCCTCCTCGTGCCGGAGGTGTTGT